GGCCCGTTGCAGGCATATGTTAGTGCTCCCCAGCCTCATGGGCCTCTGGAGCTCATCCCTCAGCCTTCATGTGAAGTGAGACGTCCAGCAGATGTAAGTGGTACTACTTTTCTGGGGGAACCGGGAAAAGTGGGTAAAATGAGGGTCATTGGATTGGAGCCCAACTCTTCTCGGCCCATGCCGACAGCGCCTGAAAGTACTAAGTTTTTAGTTCCCCCGCCGTGATCGCCCATCTTCACCTTGCCACTGCCTTCCCTGTTGATTTGTGAGTTACTGTGTTTGAGTCCTTAATTCTACCAGCTTAGTACGATTTCTGTTACTACTACCAACCTTTTGCTTTCATTTTATTGTCATTCATCACCCCTCACTCCCCCACTTTCTACTGACTGTACAGGCTGGGCCTGAAAAGCCGACAGGACTGGTGCATCCTGGGAAAAGTGGGAGGGCCATCGACAAAGGCTAAGTTCCCTTCGGGAACTGAGATCGAGGTGTACGGCAGTGGGATCATTTAGGAAACTACTTTCTCCCCTTGACTGCATCTGCAAGTGCATGTTGGAGAGGCGGGAATCCCCCAAAGAGGCCTTGTGGTTTCCTGTACCAATGACTGGCTTGTGTGTGGATGGGATGGGGGGGGGGTGTAACAGCTGGGTGGGGCCTCGTCCTCCGTCTCCACCCCTTCATTAGCCCCGCCCTTCAGCTGGCTCATAGCTGCTCACCTAATTATAGTCCTGGCAGTGTGTGGGGAAGAGGGGGTGGTTGGTTTCAGTGGCAAGTAACACCTGAGTCCTCCCCCCCTCCCGGGAAGTAGCCCTTTCCTCATCTCTGGGATTTGGCATCCCAACTCCCAGGAGCCTTCCTTACCCAAACCGAAACTTTAGATTTCATTTGGGGGGCTGGGATCCAGCTGTTTTCCCCCCTCCCATACACCAGATCTTCAGTATGTTTTTACTCCATTTTCAAAGCAGGAAATTCGCCTTTATTTAGGTGGGTAATGGAATAAAGGGGGAAATGGAGCAATGTTTTTTAGAGAAGAGTGGAACAGATTAGCGATCCTGTTAACCTCCATCCTTACTGACTGTAGTTCTCTTCTTGGCTTTAGTTGGAATCGAAGCCTCTTAAAATGGCAGATGATTTGGACTTCGAGACAGGAGATGCAGGGGCCTCAGCCACCTTCCCAATGCAATGCTCAGCATTACGTAAGAATGGTTTTGTGGTGCTCAAAGGCCGGCCATGTAAGATCGTCGAGATGTCTACTTCGAAGACTGGCAAGCATGGCCATGCCAAGGTTAGAATCACCTCTCTACATCTTGCCTTCTCTGCAGCTCCCACAGCTATAGGGCTCTGGTCAGAGAACTGTTTCAGTCTTGATCCCTTCTTGCTGTCCTTTTGTTCAGCACACAGATTTCAGTTGGAACTAAACAGGTTCCCAGTTTCTTCCATGGTGAACCTGCCATTCCATCCCTCCTTTTTCCCCCTCTTTGTGCTAGTCTCTAGAACTGTATATATCTACAATCCCTTAACTTTGGAAAGTCAGTTTCTTAGTCTTGACCTATCCAAAATCCATTAGTCTTTTTTTTTTTTTTTTTTGTGTGGGGGGGAGCGGCTGTTCAGTATTTCTCTAGTCAAGACCCATGGAAGGCAGCATTCTGGGGGGTGGGGCTCCAATGTGTGTTCTCAAGTTGCTTTTAGCTGCTGCTCCTCCTCCCAGTTGTGGCTTTTGATACCTTTGGCATTTACCTGTTTCTGGTTACCCCACTGAGTTCTCTGTTCTTTGGCTTACTTCAGTCTTAACATTTCTCTTCACCTAGACTTGCCCTATCTTTTTCTCAGAAGTTTAACCTGACTTAAGTCTGTGGTTTTTATTCCTCATGATTTTCCCCCTTTAGTTGACTTGGCATTTATAACTAGGTTATCCTCACACTGCTTGGTTTCTTTTTGTTTTCCTTCCATACTAACTGCATAGTTTCTGATCTTCCCCTGGACTATTTAATTCAGATCTCTTGCATTCCTTTGCTTTGATTCTCAGCCTGTTCTACTTGTCTTTAATCCCTTACCTAGGCACCCCCATATAATAAAACAGAGTCTTAGGGATTACAGGTGTCCTAACTTGAACTAACTTCTGCCTCTCATTTTCCTAGTGCTGGGATTATGATTGGTTTATTTGGTACTAGGCATCACACCCAAGGCCCTGTGTTTGTTGGGCAAGCACTGTATCAACTGACTGATATCCCCAGTCCTTGTCAATGATTTTTGGTAACTTTTGTGTAACTGACTTCCCTAAGACTGACATAACAGGTTTTCTTGTCATCCGCAATCTCAAATAGTGGTCTTTTAGCTTCAAGACTTTAAGTATATGTTTGGTATGTGTTTCTCAATTGGCTCATTTCTAATTCCTTAATCTTTGCTGCAACATGGTAGGCTGACTTCTCAATAGCCAATTATATAAGCCTTTATCTCCTCCATCTTAGAGATTGATTTATTGGGTTTCTCTTTGTAATGTATGTACACAGGTCCACCTGGTTGGTATTGACATTTTTACTGGGAAGAAATATGAAGATATCTGCCCGTCAACTCATAATATGGATGTCCCCAACATCAAAAGGAATGACTTCCAGGTATGTTTTTGAGATGAAGATGGTGAGTAGCTCATGAAGGGTGGAATGTGTGGCCTGCAGCAGTGGGGAAAGGGAGCTGGTGGGAGAGTATTTGTGAAGTTGCTGTTCTAGTTTGTCCATCATTCTCTTCACACTTAACCTACCTGTACCTGCTTTTAACTTCCTTCTTCCAGCTGATTGGCATCCAGGATGGGTACCTATCCCTGCTCCAGGACAGTGGGGAGGTACGAGAGGACCTTCGTCTGCCTGAGGGAGACCTTGGCAAGGAGATTGAGCAGAAGTATGACTGTGGAGAAGAGATCCTGGTATGATTGTCCCCCTCCCCCAAACCTCGAGTGATAATACTCAGCTTTGTTCCTTAAGCTTCAAAACTCTTTTTGAGTTAAGGCACACCTCTCTGGACTGTCTTTTCTGCTTTTCCAGATCACGGTGCTGTCTGCCATGACAGAGGAGGCAGCTGTTGCAATCAAGGCCATGGCAAAATAACTGGCTCCCAGGTGAGTGTGACAGCCTTCACCATCCTACATACTTTTTGTCCTTATCAGTTTAATGATGCCGGGCCCCCTTTCTGCCCCTAGATTGGTCCTTCCTTCCCCTCACCCTTTTTGTTGAAGTTATTGTCCTATCTTAAACATGATTTCTTTTTTCTTGCCCAGGGTGGCGGTGGTGGCAGCAGTGATCCTTGAGCCTACAGAGGCCCCTCTCCCAGCTGGGTTCCACTCTGGCTGGGCCCTTGGCTGGACTCCTATACAATTTATTTGACGTTTTATTTTGGTTTTCCTCACCCCTTCAAACTGTTGGGGAGACCCTGCCCTTCACCTAGCTCCCTTGCCCAGGACAAAGGGAGCAATGGCCTTGGTGAAGCTACCTGCCTCTTCCCTCACGGCCCTGGTGGGGGAAAGGGAGTTGGGTATTGCTTGTGGTTTAGGTCCTCCATCTCCCTTTTTTCTTTTTAATTCAATTTGGAATCAGAAAGCTGTGGATTCTGGCAAATGGTCTTGTGCCCTTTATCCCATTTATCCCTGGTCTGGTCCCCTGTTCTCCATAGTCCTTCACCCCCAAGCACCACTTGTACAGACTGGGGACCAGCCCCCTTCCCTGCCTGTGTCTCTTCCCAAACCCCTTTAGGGGTGGTGAGAAGAGGGGGGGAGCAGCCACAATCCCTCCTCAGGCATCTGGAAGGGCCTTGCCCCCATGGGCTTCACCCTTTCCTGCGGCTCTCCCTGACACATTTGTTAAAAATCAAACCTGAATAAAACTACAAGTTTAATATGAAGCCCCAACTCAGTTTATTTGTTGATTGAAAAATGCTTTTAGAATCTAGAAATAAACAAGAAGACTGCTACTGTTGTTAGCCAATCCTTCATCCACTTGTAGCAAACAAACAGTAGTCCGGGTGGTAGTGGTTGGGTACATTTTATTGGTGTGGGGCACATAGGAAGACCCCTACCATGAGGGATGAGGGAGGGAGAGGATTAGTTGGAGTTATCTGGTTACTTGTGGTAGAATCGTGGATTTTGGCTGTGTTGGATGAAAGGGAGTCGAGGGCCAGGTTGGCTGGTGGTGGCAAAGCCTGACTGGTAATGATAAAAGAGTTTTTATCAGTGGGTAGGTAATTTCACTTAACACAATTGCAGTAGGTTAACAGTCTTTCCCTGGTAGTCTATGGGTTTTTGGTTACCAGCCTTACCTTGCCTGCTGCTTGCATCTGCACAGGGAGCTGGGGGGAAGCCAAGAGTCCAGGGGCTGGATGCAGAGCTTGGGGATGCATAGGCCGCAGAGAAGACTGTAAAGACAAAGCTGACCTTAGATAGACTGGGGCTCCCCTCGTCCCCAAGGCTCTATATACTCTATACTCACTGAATCAGAGAAGCTAGTCTGCTGATTGGCATGCTCCATCTGCTTTTGCAAGGACAGGGCACCACCAGGCTGGAGGAACCCTAATGGGGGAATTGTTTGAAATGAGCAGTAATGATAGGACTCAGGAAGCTAGGGCTCCTGCCCAGGCAGGGGATTATCACCTGTCTGAGTGGGCTGAAAGTGGCCATGCACGGCATAGGGTTGTGGCTGCGGCTGTGATAGGTACTGCACGGCAGGAAATGCCGACGGTGCTGGGAAGGTAGGAGACATCCATTAGCTCTTGTTGGTCTTGCTGTTCTTCCCTCTGCTCCGAGGAGAACCAACACTCACCTCTGAGCTGCTGGCTAGGACTATAGGCTGGCTGTGTAGGTCCATAGTGAGGTGGGGGCTGAGCAGTTCCATAAGCACCCCCTGGACTGCCTTGGAATTGTCCATGTTCTGGGGTTCCTGCAAAAGCAGCTGCCGATCCCACGTAGTGCCGGGTCTTAGAGGGAAAATGAAAACTCACTGCTTACACAGCACCTAGAAAAAACTCACTCCATATGTCCTTATGCTCAACTGAGCTCCTACACACTACATGCTTGGTATGTTTGTACTTTAATGATGGTTGGGGTGCCAGCAATATAGGAGCAAGTAACTGGGACTACACGTCCAAGCCTTTTCTCAAGCTAGGCATGATGACAGATAGACAGGATTACATTTCA